GATCATGGGTGACGAATCTCTTCTTTCCTATCGTTCCCCTGCCACTCAATCTGCCCTCGTGTTGGGGCACAGGTACTCCAATTGCATATCCATCCTTGAGATAATCGATACAGCACTCGACAACCTCTTCAGTACTATAATCCTCAACCATTGATCCCTCTAGATGTGCACGATTTCGGACGTAACCCTTCAGAACCGCCATGTAACGCTCGTATGACCACATTTGATGGAGGTACAATGGGCCAAGCGCAACCATCTGCGGCACAATGTGAACAATGAGGTGCTCCATCATATCAAAAAATGACGGAGGGAAACACATCTCAAGTTGGCACTGGGTCTCATGTGCGAATGTACGGAGATTTCCTAACTCTTCGAGACTAATGACCTTCTGTGACACTGCGTTGAAAAAGTAGCACAACCTTGTGATAGCAACCTTTAAATGCTCCGGTTTTATGGCTCTTATTGCAATTGCAAGAAACACGGTGAGCAAGACATGGCAGTCGTGTGAATTATAACCAGATACCGACAAATCTTTCATTGAAACTAGTCGACTGATGTTTGATGAGAAACCTATGGGCAGTCTGACATTACGGAGTGAGTTGCAAAATGACTTCTTCTCCTTAGGTGTCAGTGTGAAACAGGCTGGTGGAAGATATACTTTGCCATTCTTTTCTCCTTCTTGAGGGTGTAACTCTTCCCTGATTCCCATCTCGACTAGGTCCATCGTTGATTGCAGACCATCTTTAGTCTTCTTCGGCATGTCCAACAATGTTCCAACTATGTTGTCAAACACATTCTTCTCTAGATGCATGACGTCTATGGCATGCTGAACCTCCAGATCTTTCCAGTACGGGAGGTACTTAAAAAATATGGAATGCTTCTTGAATGGGGGAGGGAGTTTATCATCTGGCTTCGAACTGTCATCTTGCTTCTTACTATCCCCTCCCTTCGTATTCTTCTCGGGTTTCTTGCGCTTTGTCCCCTTTGATGGTTTCTTAGTCATTTTTCCAAACTCGCAAACAATTTTCTCTATCATTGCACACACATTTTCTCCCGATGTAGGTTTTGGTGCAGGATCAGTCTCTTCAGTACCATCGAACTCCGCCTTCATCTTACGGTACTTGTGATTTGTGCGTAGGAACCGCCGGTGCCGCATGTACACAAGCTTGTTGGAACCCGGGAGATACCTATAGGACGTTCCATTCAAGCAGATCACACATCCTGTTTTACCTTTAATTTGACCTGAAACTAAAAACATTGCTGGATAATCGTTAATGGTCACGAAGATGATTGCCTTCACTGTGAAGTATTCCCTTAAGTACTCGTCCCACACTTTCAATCCCTCTTTCCATAAATCGGCCATATCTTCCAACAATGGTCCAAGAAATACGTCTATATCAATACCAGGCTAACGGGGTCCCTGTATGAGGATACAGAGTAGTACGTATTTTCGCTTTTGACAAAGCCAGGTAGGAAGATTATACATGGTGAGAAGCACTGGCCAAGTACTATGTGAACTGCTCATGTCTCCAAAAGGATTAACTCCATCAGTACTCAGGGCAAATCTAATGTTCCGTGGGTCTTTAGCAAACTCTCTATACTGCGCATCAAAGGTTCTCCATTGACGAGCATCTGCCGGGTGTCGAATCATCCCATCCTTCTTGCGCCCTTCTTCATGCCAGTGCATTAGTTCCGCATCTCGCGGGTTTGAGTATATTCGTGTAATGCGGTCTTTCACAGGAAGGTACCACATCACAAGCTGCGGGATTTTTCTCTGTCGTCCCTCAGTTGCTTCAGAGGGTTCTAGGCTAGTATTGCTATTCGACTTGTACCAGCTTGCACCGCATGTTGGACATTCATCCAAAGAAGCGTACTCTTTCCTATACAGTATGCAGTGATTTACGCACGCATGAATCTTTTCCACACCAAGTGAAAGGGGGCATATGAGTTTCTTTGCTTGATATGTGCTGGATGGTAGTGAGTTAGGCCTCGGTAGCATTTTCTGCAGGAGTTCTAAAAGACTGTCGAAACTGGTATCAGACCATCCATGTCTCGCCTTTAACCTCATAAGTTCAAGAACTGACCGGAGTGTTGTGAAATCACTGTCACAGCCCTTCGACTCATCGTACAAAACTTCCTTTGCTGCCTTCTGTAAAGCTTCAAAGTTATTTAGCCCTCTGGCCGACCCCATCAGCACCTCGGGTTCTGCATTACGTAACATTTTCTCTAGGTCGATTTTGTCCTCAACAGAACCATCGTCATGCACCATGTCTTCAACTTGTGTCGGAACTACATTTTCAGGCTCGTCCACTTGTTCTTCGCCATGACGTGTCCATATTTCGTACTTGTCCATAAATCCGTGAGTTACCAAGTGCTCCTTCACTTTAAAAGCATCGTCAAAGTCCCAGGCTATTTCATTCTTACAGTCAGCACACGGACAAATTATCTTCCTCATATTGTTCTTCTCAGCGTGAACCTTGGCAATACCAATAAATTTAGCCACTTCGTTTCTATATGGAGACAAAAACCTCGGCCAATGATACATCCATTCCCGACTTTCTATATCTCTAAAAAATACACGTAAAATATTTGCACAATTAATACCAAATTTGTAGGGTTTATTGAAAAAACTTATAGCTATTCAAAACTAATTAACTAAAGGTTAAGTTGTAAAGTAATAAAAAATCATAGTTTATTTCAATTTTTTTTACACAGACATGCCAAATTAGCACATTAGGAAAATCTAACAAAATCAATTCATCGGCATATTACAAAATACTATAACTATTTTTTGATTGCACTGAATAAATAGACATTTAAAATTTTTTTCTCTCTCTATACATGACAAGAGCTAGATCTAGATCTAGAACTAGGTGGTGGATATGATAGCAAAAAATTAAAAAACAAGAATTTATGTTACCACATTAAACCACTACAACAAGAGGCATCAAGTATTACACATACATCTAACATAAACAAATGACAAGAAATAAAATTAAAAAACATGGAGCTCTTCCTTCAAAATTTTGGATGCATAAATCCATCACAAATTAAGGTCTAAAAGCTTAAAAAAAATGCATACCTAGTGTGGAAATGAGTAGATCTAAGTACCGTAGAAAAATCCCCCGAAGATTTGAAGTTCAAAACCTCCCCCCTATATTTAAGTCACTTTAGGAGAGAGAAACGTCGGGGAGAATGAACAGGGCTCGGGGAGGAAGAAGACTATATAGGGGCATCTTTGCAGGCGGGCCATATAAGCGTCGCCTGCGAAGATTGATCTTTGCAGGCGGGCCATATAAGAGTCGCCTGCGAAGATTTATCTTTGCAGGCGCACGTCGTCTGCCGCTTGCGAAGATCGATTTTCGCAGGCGACGCTTATATGGCCCGCCTGCAAAGATCAATCTTCGCAGGCGGACCGCCCCCTCCACCCCAGGTACCATTTTTGCCGGCGGGGTTTTGGCTCCGAATTACGTGCACGCCTGCGAAAATTTATCCCCTACGACGCCGAAAATGAGATTTCTAGTAGTGTTGCACCAGCCCTTCCCTTATTTTATAAGTAAAGAGTAAAGGAGATTAAAAAAATGTCTTAAGCGGGGTAGGTTTGTTCATTCCTGAAGGAAAAACGAGGCCGGATTTGTTAGCTTGGAGAGCGAGTTAATTTAATGTCTTTCAGAAATGCATTTACTTTGAAATGTTGGTTTTACCATATATATCCATTTACGATCTTAACTATTGCAAAATAAACTATAAACTATTTGTGATTTTTTTAACTTGTCAGACAAAGTCTCCAATCCATATAGGTTTGTTGCCATTCATGTTTATAATAATATATTCATAAAAAATATTTAAATAAAACAACACAAGTATATTTATTGTAAATCTATGAATGCAATTATTCGCATAGATTATATTATATCGCATAGATTGTATAGACCTGTGACTACCATATGTTTTTTGACACGTCATGAAACCAATCCTACTGTTTGTCAGTTGCTTATCGGGTGACACATTTGATGAAAACAAGCGTAGGAATAATAACAAAACTAAAAGAAGAGAGGAACATCGTTTCTACTCCTTTCAATTCAGATTATAAGTCGTTTTGACTTGGGTCAAAGTTAAATTGCTTCAAGTTTGACAAGTTTATAGAAAAAAAGTAGTTACACTTTCATCACAAGACAAATATATTATGGAAATATATTTAATATATATATATATATATATATATATTAATTGAAACTAAATTACTGTTGTAAATATTACTATATTTGTATACAAACTTAGTCAAATTTAAACTAGTTTGATTTTGACCAAAACTAAAACGACTTATAATCAGAAACAAAGGGAGTACTCTTATTTCTTACTAGTAAAATGGCCGTGCTTTGCTATGGATAAAAGAAAATATATTATAATATGTAATAGATATTAAAAATTATCGAATATATTAATGCCACTTGCTTACTTGTTTGAATATACAGTATTTACTTGTTTGAACCATATATTTGGACTATTCCATAATATAAAAAAACAGGAGCCTATTTGGAAAACAGTGGGGGTGGCAGATTCACTACCACCACATCTAGGGACTTTTATGTACAACCTTCGTTTTGAATATAAGGATGTGTCTATGTTGTTTATCAGGTGTTTGTCGAATACTTATATCAAAAGATTCATTTTTAGTCACTTCAGTTGTCAATTTTTGAATTTTGAATTATTTAGATATCATTTACAAGAATCTGATTACCTATGCAATCACTGAAATGATGGGAATCAAAGTAATCAGTGCATGAATACTTATAGTGTGGTACCAAAGAATGGAGGGAGTGAATAAGAAATGCAACATTCAAATATTATAGATGTTACTATTAATTGTCAGATCACAAAAAAATACGGCAGCTTATTATAGAGGGCACCTTTAGGCTGCGATTCGGCCGACATGGGCGCTCTCCTCAACAAGAAATTCCCTTTTTCCATCATGAAATTAAAGAACAACGAAGGCTAGCTAGCAAACCAGCAAGATATATTCAGAAGAACATTGAAGTTCATCATTTATTCACCACATATATATAAATAGATGCTTCCTGACAAAAGAAAGCACTAATTATTTAGCAACCCCACATAGTCACACACACACAGCTAACTATAGTAGCCTAGTGACCGGTTCTTGGGGTCCTAGGATACCCAAGCCAGTAGCAGACACCACCAGGCCCATTGGGGATGTCCACGTTGCAGAACGCCGGGAGGCTCGCCGCCGCGCGCTCCAAGTCCCCTCTCCGGCAGCCGGGGAACACCTCGGCCATGGGGTGCCCGGCCTCGGTGGCGCCGAGCTCCCTGTAGATGCCTGACAGCATGTGATCGAGCGCCCCGCACCTGCACCAGCCGTCGTCGACGGCGGCGAGCTGCCGGCAGCAGTCTTGCCAGACTTGCTCGTCCGCGGCGCTGGCCGCGCCACGGCCAACGCATTGGCGCCTCACCAATGTTCGACATTGCGGGAGTGAGTATGTCGGATAGCTTATTCCTGGCCGACATTGCTCACCGGGGCTGTAGACTTGGTGGTGGTCCGCCATGGTCGCCATCGCCGCCGCGAGCACGGAGAGAACGACGAGGAGCAATACCGAGAACACTACCTTGTTGGAAGCCATATTTTGCTTAGTTTGTGAAAAATCTTAATTAACTGTGATAGCTAGGCTCTTCGTCTCTGGGTGGTTTTATATATAGCTATAAAGACCAAAGTGATTCAAGAACAGATAGAAATTTTTTGGCTGTTCATGAGCTATTTATGGATTTGCTTGTGGTTCTGTATGAAACATCTATTGTGATTCACACGCCTAATCTGGGGCATCATATGGACAACAGATGGTTAAAGTGGATTGATATGTACTACACTCTTTAATTATTTGAATTTGTTTGATCCTTACGTGGAAGAAAATAAATGCTATATGTGGCTATAGAAAGACTAATTAAAGTGATTCAACTTTGAAGAACGGCCACAAAATTGTTTTAGCTGTTCATGCGTGGTTAGTATGCTCTTGGGGTTTTGCATGACTGGCATGAGCAATTTGCTTGTGGTTTTGCATGAAATATTTTTTGTTATTCACGGCTAATCTGAGCATTATATATTTTGACAAAAAGTTGGTTTAAAGTGGATTGATATGGACCACACTCTTTAATTATTTGAACTCATTTTCATTCTTCCGTGTAAGAAAAGAAATGCACACACCGTCAACAGACATATAGTACTATGGGTAACAAAATCTTTTGATATTTATATTTATCCAATTTGTTTAATGACGAAAAGGATAGTTCAAAGCAAATTATGTTTATAGCTACCCGTGGCATGATTTTGTTGTTATGTCATATCGGAAGTGGTCTTGAAGTAATAACACCTTGATGTAATTTGTAAGATCAACAAAGTTTCCTTTGTCTTCAAAGAATGTTTGCTAATTTGCAAAAGGAAAAAAGAGTATTGTTAGCTTGGGGATTGAGCTTAATGTTTTTCCATAAATGTATTTATTCTTAATGTCGGTTTATCATATCGATGATGTTAGTTATTTCAAAGTAAACAATACTCATTGGGAAAGACTCTGAGGGAAAAAATTATGCGGGATCTTTGATGAGGACATCCCAGCTACACTTGACGTGAACAAGGCTGATGGTTACGTTATACATCACATGGAGAAATTTGAAGATGACGTAAACCAAGTTGATGGCTTACGTCTTAGTAAGAACGATCAAACATATCATGGTCCAATTATGCACAGCCATGCTAAGAAAATACAACTAGAGGTGAACTCACTCTTTGCTCAACTTAACCCAAATTTTAATGAGAATTTTATACTACCTAAATATTCTACCTTTGTCTTGCTAAGGTTTACATCGGAAGACATCATTACTACGCCAAGAAGGATGGGTTATGTTGAGGATGACAAGAGTTACACCGAGCAGGAATTAGCCCATGCACTACCAGCAGCTGTCTACGCCAACAAAAAGTTGGTTTACGCTACAAAGGCTCAACATCCAAGGCTTGTACGACCCAGCCAGTCAAGTTACGGGTTGCATGGCATACATGGTTGGAAAGAGGGGCATGTCTAGCTTCCAATGCTTCAAACCCCATCTCAATATCACTTTCCAATAAAAAGTTAGAGCATTTTTACTGAGGACTGCGCAGGAGCTGAAGGGCTGTGCGTGAACCCGAGAAAACTTTTTGCATTCTCATTTATGTTAGCCTTGATCACCAGAACGTGGCTTCTTATGTTCACACCTACGCTAGGAGGAATGTTCCTAGTATAAATACACTTCTAATTCATCCATTAGACAACTTTTGTTCAATTGAAAACCTCATGTATGAGAGATTATTGAAGTCTGCATAAGTCTTACCCTTTTTGTTCTCGTGAGTTCTTTTGGGCTTGTGAGAAGGATCCTCTTGTGTCCCCTAGTTCGTGATTTTGGCCCTCGGGCCTCTTGTGTGGATTAGTTCTGGATTGTGGTTCTGTAATTGCTCGTTTTGACGGGTCAGAGTCCAGGAAACTTCGGATCATTCTCACACTCACCACTTGGTCGCATCCAACCTTGGCAGGTATAAAGCTAGTTATCCTCTAGCTACGAGTAGCTAGTTACCCTCTTGTGTACAATTTATGCCGGTGCTCTTTTGCTTCAAACCTACTACCGTGAAGATCGGGTCACCTCTCGCGATTGCGTTCGCAACAACCTTGGTTATTCGCTCTTCTAGAAATACTTCTATTTACTGTCGGCACGAATCTTCACGAAAGCAATAGCTTACATAGACATCTTTAATACTATAGAGGCATTGCAAAAATATCGCACAAGTGCCTTTTGAATAATCTCTATAAATGGGGAAACATTTTATAGAATGTCTCCATTCACAATGTGATTTTTCTAGAAGCATTTTTATGTGTATAAGAGAGTGGTAAATTTTAAAGTGCCAAAAAGATTGATTCTCAAACAAAGTAAATTTGTCTCTAAAATAAAAAAAGTTCCAAGCAATTATTAAAGTGCTTCTAAAATGTGTCTCTAGGCTATAGAACTCCTAAGTTTAGAGATGATTTCAAAATCAGCTATAGAAAAGTGCCCACGTACTTAAAGTTTTTCATGTGCTTGGAGCAGTCATCACCTCCTACCTCAGCTCATGTCCCCAAATTCTCACCTTCTCTCTTGTCTCAACTCCCCACCTCCCTTCCTTCTCCTTGGCCGGAGGCCCAATCTCCGTCCAGAGTGCAATCCATGTGCAGGGGCAGCGAGCTACCCCAACTTTTCCTACTCTCTCCCACTACCTAACTCTCCTTCCATCTAAGCTGAAGTCCCAATGTTTGGCCAGATGCGTAGTGACGGTGCCAACGTCAACTCATCCAACCATGGGGACGGCCGTCAAATTTGTTAAGGTTTATTTTGGTTACAATCTGAAAAACCGTGAAGTATTTTGGGATTGGTGAAAAACCGAGGTCATGCATAATTTCTTCCACATACTTTAGGAAAATATATCGTAATAAGAATTTCTAAAAGCATTACATAAAAAAAAACTTCCAAGAACAAAACTAAAGAAGAGAGGAACATCCATTCCACTTTTTTATTTCTTATTAGTACTATCACATACATAAGAGGAGAAAATTATAGATGCTACAATTAATTGTTGGCGATCTCACCACCAAATTAAAATAGTGCAGATTATTAAAGAGGGCACTTTTAGGCTGCGTTCGAGCGCAGGAGAAAGAGAGAAATATTGTTTCGTTTTTCGCGCGCACGCTTCCCGAACTACTAAACGGTATGTTTTTTTCAAAAAATTTCTATAGGAAAGTTGCTTTAAAAAATTATATTAATCCATTTTTGAAGTTTAAAATAGTTAATACTTTATTAATTATGTGCTAATGGCTCACCTCGTTTTGCGTATCTTCCCAATCTCCTCAATCCCCTCCTTCTCAAACACACCCTTAGTTTGCAAAATCCGCACTCCGTCAGCATGGATGCCATGCCTGCCATCCTCTGGCCGACGCAGCCCAGCAGCGGTGCTATTCGGTCGACATGAGCACCATGAAATTCTTTTTTTTCACAAAATGAAATTAAATAACAACGAAATATTGCTACCCAATTGGCAAGATGTATTCAGAAGAACATTGAAGTTCATCATTTATTCACCATATGTATATATGCTTCCTGACAAATGAAAGCACTAGTTATTTAGCAACCCCACAGAGTCATACACACAGCTAGCTTTAGTAGCCTAGTGACCAGTTCTCGGGGTCCTAGGATAACCTAGCCAGTAGCAGACACCACCTGTCCCATTGGGGATGTCCACGTTGCAGAACGCCGGGAGGCTCGCCGCCGCGCGCTCCAAGTCCCCTCTCCGGCAGCCGGGGAACACCTCGGCCATGGGGTGCCCAACATCGGTGGCGCCGAGCTCCCTGTAGATGCCTCCAACCATGTGGTTGAGCGCCGAGCACCTGCACCAGCTGTCGTCGACCGCGGCGAGCTGCCGGCAGCAGTCCTGCCGGAGTTGCTCGTCCACGGCGCCGCCGGGTGCGCCGTGGCCCACGCACTGGCGCTTCACCACCGCCCGGCAGCGTGGCAGCGAGTACATCGGGTAGCCCATTCCTGGCTGACAACGCTCGCCGAGGCTGTACACCACCTGGTCTTTGTGGTGGTCCGCCATGGTCGCCGTCGCGGCGAGCACGGAGACGATGATGAGGAGCAACGCCGAGAACACTACCTTGTTGGAAGCCATGGCTTTTTGTTTGCAGAAAATCTTTAGTCTGAATTTGTATGAGAGGGATAGGTTTAAGGTCTTCATCTATTGGTGGTTTTATATATAGCTATAAAGACTAAAGTGATTTAAGAAGGGACATAAAAGTTTTAGCTGTTCATGAGCTAATAGATTAACTTGTGGTTTTGTATACATATAAAATATTAATTGTGATCCACGCCTAATGTGGGCATCATATGGACTAAAGTTGGTAAAAGTGGATTGATATGCACCACACTCTTTATTAATTTGAACCTTCCGTGGAAGAAAATTAAAGAAATGCACATAATGTCAACAGACATATATAGTTTTGCATGCAAGGTAACAAAATCAGTTCATCTTTATTTCCATGGCTTGTATAGTGATCCAAATTGTGGAACAATAAAAAGAATAGTTCTGAACAAATACTTTAAAAAGAATGCTCTGGAAGCTGCAGTAACGAAAGCTGCATCACTAGATTTCAGAAAATTAAGAAATTAACGTGCCTGATGAAGCATATAAGTATTGGAGTTTTCTGAAACACAAATATCATATATATAGATAGCTTTACGCGCACGTTGGATAACAGGGTTATATTAACAAGGCACGGCATTATATATGGCCAGGAGAAGTACGCACGCATAATCACTTTGTTTAAAAATTAATGATACAAATTAAATGTTAGGAATATTTTGTGCTATAACTTTGTCGACTTGTAATAAAGTAAAAAATACGTGAGGTTAAAATATAGGTATTATGTGAGGTGGAAGGAAGAGGTTTTTTATTTCGTGACAAAGGAAAAAGAAACAAGCTAGAGGGTTGTTAGCATGGGGTGTGAGTTTAATGTCCTTCAAAATCTATATTTATTTGGAATTGTTGGTTTGACCATATGAATGACCTTAGTTTTTGCAAAATATACTATACTCCTTGTGTTCCTTTTTATTTGTACAATCACGACATAGTCTCTCTCGCCAATTCATTAATTTTTATCATTCCTATTGATAATCATATATTCATAATAAACAGTTCAATATAACTACAGTTATAGTCTTTTTTTTATGATAAATCAATGAGTGCCATCTTTGAATATTAAATCATATTATATTTTTGCATCTATAAGTGATTAAAAAAATAATCAAGATTTCATTGCCTCCTATACATCCAAAACAGCATCTATTTGTGAACGGAAGCAACACTTTAATGGCTTAACAAGTGATCTTATTTGTGCAGTCAGCGATATACTCTATCTGTACTCTATCTCAACAAAGGAGTATATGAGAACCCTTTTGTTGTGTATGACATGTAGGGGTGAAAACAGTACGGAATTTTTCCGGATTCCGGTCATGTTTTCGGAAACGGAATCGGCCGGTCGGAATTTTTTCGGAATTTCTCGGAATCGGAATCGAAAACGGAAATATTTTCTCGGAAACGGAATCGAATATGATAATAGCAGTTTCCGTCGGAACCCGGAAACGATCGGAAACATTCCGGAAAAATTGTCGGAATTTCCGAAGTTAAAAATACCATAGATTCAATAGTCCATAATTCATCCCTAGCTTCCCAGCCCAACCCAAATCGCGGCGGCATCTACCCTAACCGGCTAACCCTATAGGAGAGAGACCGTCAGACTCAGAACTCAGACGCGACTCGCGAGTTGGAGGCGGAGCGGCGGCTGCGGCATCCAGATCGCGGCATCGCGGCGCCGGCGTGCCCTCACGCCCACCGCCCGTGGCGCCGGCGCCCCACCGCCCACTGCTGGTCGCCTGGCCGGCTGGCCCCCGCCGTCCTCGCTCCCACCATCTCGCGCCGCCCTTGCTCTTCGTCGTTTCGCCGCCGGCCGCCGCCACCATCTCGCACCTCCGCCGGCCTGCTCGGTCCCCGCCATCTCAAGGCGCCGTCCCACCGCGTCTCGCCGTTTCACCGTCGCCACCACCGCCGCCGACGACGGAACAACCACCACACCGACGAGGCGACGACGACACCACCACTGCAGTCTCTTCCTCACCGCCACCAACGCCGACGGCTCCTCGCCTCGCAGCAGCCAGCAGCCCAGCGGCAGCATCTGAGCAACCAGCAGCAGCAGGTGTATATAGTGATTGACTTTGCACTTTTACTAATGCTCTATCATTTTTTTTGAAGGCTAATGGAACGGAACAAGAGACAGAGACAGTAGAAGCGGAATGTTCTAATGAGGATGGCATTGCGCCAATGGATGTTTGAAGAAAATGTTGGTCAATTTAATTTTCAAGTTACATCTAATTTCAAGTTTCCATTTCAAATTAGTGTACTCCTGCTGCACAAGTGGATGAGATATGTTTGAACCATGTACTGATGTGTTTTGTGATTGAACTATGTTTTGTGATGAACTATGTATTTATAGGGTGATGTGTTTTGTGATTGAACTAAGTACTGAAACACTGATGGACTGATGTGCGTTGCTGTTCTGTGATGATTGATGAACTATTGCTGTTCTGTGATGATTGATGTTGTGACCTTAGGTCACGAACAAGATCGGGGATAGGCCGGAAAGAAGTGTTTTCCCGCCTATCCTTAGAAACGAGCTCGAACAGCAAACACAACTTTTGAGGATTACTTTTGTATTCAAGATGTTTTGTCCTGCTACAGGTTTTTGACTGGCTTTTATAACCAGTGGTCGTACACGTGAGATTACATTTTTACCCCTGTGGGTCTTTGTAAGTTTACTCTAATGCCCCTGCCACATCAGCGTCTGTGGGGGCATTCTAGTACATCTCCAGGGGTCTTTTAGTCTTTTAGGTGCTAGCTGGCGAGAGTGGTTGAAGGTGGTCCCCACGGAATCTTCCCTTGGCATCTTCTCTTGTTCGAGTAGTGCTCTTCCTCGAACTCTTGGGAAAAATGCCTTTTCCGTCCTGGACCGTCTTCTTCCTCCCGGGAATTCGAATTCCCCTTTGCCTTCTCTTTCATCCTTGGAAAACACCTGTGAAATTGTAACTTGTCCAAAATATGTGTAGTTGTATTAGCGATTATGGAATGTCCCTAAAAAGGTGTTCTTCACCCGAAGAGGTATTTTCTATTCGAATGAGTGTTCTTCCTCTGGGAAGGTATTTTCCCTTTGGGAAGGTGTTCTTCCTCTTGGAAAGGTAGTTTCCACTCAAAATGAGTGTTTTCCCTTCTGGATACTTAGGTCTTGCAAAACCTCGTAGTGTTTTGACCGAATTGGAGGAAAAGGTGTTTGCACCCTGCTACAACAAGCCCCTCACGGGTAAGGGCGATGTGTGTTTTCGGCCGAAACCGTGCCTGAGTTTATGGAAAAAGGGGGAAAACCGCCGTCCTCCTATTCGGTCGAAACACACTATTCAAATATGCATATACGCCACGTTTACTATTCATTTATTTTTATTCTTATTATTTTTCATTTTTATTTATTTATTTATTGTGTTTTTTTTTGAATGCCACGTGCCGGTATTTCATTGGTGCGCTCAAGGGGTCGCGTCGCTTCGGGTTTCGTGTCCGCTCGTAAACCCGCGACCCTTACCACCCTGCGCTATATAAGGCCAGGAGGGGTCGCTATCACGTGACCCACGCCACCACTCGTTTGCTCTGCCATCAACTCGAAATCACAAAATACTCGAACTAAATCTCTTTCTTCCTTCTTCCATTCGAGTTTTGGTGCTTTGCTTGATTTCTTCCTTTCTCACTACACAACATGGGGAAAAACAAGAAAACTGCGGAAAAGTCGAAGTCCAAGAAATCAAAAAGCCACGAAGATACTTCTTGTGGTATTGGTGCCTCTTCGATTAAGGAAAAAAACTTAAACGATCTTGTTGATGTTGGTTGGATATCTGGTCGAAACGTTGTAATTCGACCAGTGGGAGAATCAAGGCCTTCTCCCAAGCTGGGATACACTCTTGTGTTTGAGGATTTCTTCTACGCCGGGTTTAAATTCCCATGCAGCACTTTTTTGGTTGAGGTCCTGAAATTGTTCAGACTTGAGTTTCCTCAATTGACTCCAAATGCTTTAGTTCGAATTGGGCTTTTCGAATGGATGATTCGAAGCTGCGGTGGGACCCCTCGAGCTGAAGACTTTGCATACTTCCATTGTACTCGGCACTACACCAAACAGAACTCGAAGTTTGGGTGTGTAAACTTTGCTCCTCATCCCAAGCGCGGAAGTCCATGGCCAGCTGTGTCTGCTATTCGAGCAAAATGGGGGAACAAGTGGCAATCGAAGTGGTTTTATCATCAAATCCCTCTCAGCCTGCTGAATGATAAGGATTGTCCTTTTTCGTTCTCTGGGAAGAAACCGAAAACTGTCTCCGAGCCATCAGTCTCTTTGTCGCCGGAGTTCACTGCCATACAACCTCGAATCGAAGAACTTGTTTCGAAATTTAGCTGCCGAGACCTGGTGGAAGAGTTTGTTCTTCTCAAAATTAGACCTCTTTCGAGCGGCTGGGATATCACTCTCGGAGAAATCCCCGAAAATTGCCCTTCCAGTCTTCCTCCATTTGTGGTTTCGTCTGATCGTAAGTTTCCTTTTCGAACTGCAAACCTTGTTTGTCTTGAAAAAGTGATTTAGTTAAGAAGATTTATTTTCTCCCTTTGTTATCTTCTTCCTTGTAGTTGTGATTCCAGAGGATATGGTCCGCCCAGTTCGAAAATTTCTTGGCCCTTATACCAAGGATGAGCATTTGAAATTTTTGACACTTCAAAATGAGAAAAGGCAAAATCGGGTCTTCGCCTCTCTAGGCTCCGATATCCCTGTCCGCGTTCATCCTGAAATTGTCCCCAAACTAAAGAAAAAGAAATCTGTGAAGCCCTCTTCCTCTGATGATGATGATGATGTTGAAGTGGAAGATATTGACGAAGAAATTGGGGAAGAAAATGCTGAAGAAGAAGAAGGCGAGGAAGGAGCTGATGAAGAAGAGAACGACTCGGGTGATGATAGCGACTCGAGTAGCAGTTCGAGCGACAACTCGAGCGACTTGTCTGAATCTGGTGATAGCAAAACAGTTCCTCCTCCTACTGTTTTAGCTGATTTGAAAAGGAAGAAAACTGCCAGCAGTCCTCCTCCTGAACCGAGTTCTAAACGAGTGCAACTTGT